TCCAGGTAGGCAGTTTTAATAAACCATTTATTGTTTTTACTACCAAAGTGGAAACATAATTTCAGAAATAACAGTAACAACAAAATAACTAAATTCTTCAGTGGGAGAAAACTTTCAATGTTTTTGGGATTAAAGTACATAATTCTAACTTATCATCAATACCTATGTTTTTCCCTATAAAAACACATTTCTACGACAACCAACCAGGAGTTTCTGAAAGAGGTGAAACTTATGACTTTTCCTTCGAGTTGAAAACCTTATTTTCCATGGGCCTTAGGAGTGAAGGATGCATGCTAATTGGAGAGGTAAAGACTCAGAATGCAGGAATTCATATGCCAAGCCTGTTTTCTGGCCTTGTGGGCCTTCAGAATTTAAATTTTTTAAAAAAATGGCCCTATTATAATGTGTAAAGGAATTGTAATGTATTATAATGTATAAAGGAATATCTCCAATACATAATGGGAATTTATATTATAGCAGTTGGTAATGGGAAATTCCTGGAACGGGGATAGCAGGTAACAAATCGCTTCCTTCTTTCTGCTTTTAGCTAAACTGACTCCTCCTGGAATAGTATGTTCAGTTCCTGACACCGTGTTTCCAGACACATTAGAATGTGTTTGGAAGAGAGTGCTGAGAGAATACAAATGCCTGCCACATGAGGAAGAAATGAAGAAAAGGAAGATGTTCACCGTAGGGAGGAACCAACTCATGAGGCATGTCAGTCATTTCTAAATAATCACAGAGCTTTTCTGCAGAGGTGCAATTGAGCACCATTCTGTAGCTCCTAAAGTACAGTGTGAAAAGAATTGTGAAACAATTTGGGGGTGAAAAAAGGCAAAGCTGTCCAGAGATGCAATCAGAAATTAGGGGAGATAGGTAACCCCTGTCACTGGCACCTTTAAGCAAATTTTCTGGAAAGAATTCTAAATAGTTGGGGGTTGGATCTGACATTCTGCAAGGTCATTCCACCGTTGTAAGAGCCTGGCACTCCGCCAGAGGCACTCTGCATCCTCCCTGGGAGTCACCAGTGCACTTCCACATGTGCTCATAACACAGCCCATTTCCTTCTTTACTTTCCTTCTGGCTCTTGGAAGTGTGGCAGTTTCCAAAGGTAACATGCTTTTTCTTACTGGCTAAAGGCCTGCATCACCCTCCACCGATGCATCCAAGTTGTTCTGTGCCATTCCCTCCCAGTTTAAACGTTGCCCCTCTGGCCCAAATCACTGGCCTAGGGAGTGTCACTTCCACTCTGTCAAGTCCATCCACATGGCAATAGCTGACTTCCTCCCTTCTGTGTGTTATATTGTATAACTGTTGTCAAATAGACTTTGTGGACAAATAGCTCTTCTTAAATCTTTTTTTCTTTGACTTAAGTAAAAGTCAGTAGAGGCTGAGCTGAAATAGTAGGCAAAAACAAAAACAAAAACAAAAAACCACGTCTTGCTGAAAATTGCTCTCATAGACAAAAGATTTGCTCACTATTCTTAAGCAAATCATTTATGATTCCAATTTTTTTTTCTTGTTAAAGTCAATTCTTCTCAAAATATTCCTTGGTTCCTCATTTAAATACTCCTCTGCATGTTCTACCACTCTCATACATACCCTTGATTGAAATAGATTAGACTCCATTGTATGACCCTTCTTCCCATGCCCTGTCTATCCCAACCCTCATAGCCCATGATTCTATGATCAATGGCTAAGAGCAAAAAAAGAGGAAAATAAAAATAACAGATGAAACAGTGTTTCACAGAGAGGGAAGGGAATGAACTATCTCTAAATGCCTTAAAACTCTAAGTAAATTTTAATAAACAATTTCACATGATGTTTGTACTACTAAATAGTATAAATGAAATACTCTTGTAATTTAGTGATGATGTTATTAGTTACTCACCATAAAATTTCACTGATGAAAATCTATAAATTGGGAGAAAAAATATTCAATAGACTGCTGGTAGTATTCACAAAACAATTTTTATTGCTCATTCAATACTAATTGTAAATTGAGGCTCAAATTAAGAATTATATGTACACTGTATAATGATATTGATACATACACCATGTGGGTTAACTGATACTCTTTTGTTAGGTAAAAGCAGCTTGTTAGCTAATTTTCTTAGCAAAGTTATGCTGATGATGGGTGAAAAAAAATGTGTCAGCCTCCACTCCAACAAAAAGTTGGGCAAGAAAGGAGTTCCATCTCAACCTTCTTAGCACTGTGTAACTCCTTAGAGAAGTGGTTTTGGAACAGGTTTGCAGGGAGGCAAAGGAAAAAATTATTTGAATTTTTTGGGGGGTTAAACCCAGGAACATTATACTACTGAGCTACATTCCCCAGCCCTATTTACTTTTATCATCTTATTTCATTTCATTTTGAGAGAGCATCTCACTAAATTGCCCAAGTGGGACTCTAACTTGTGATCCTTTTGCCTCAGCCTCCTCATGCTGGGATTACAGAGGCATGCACCACCATGCCTGGCTAACTATTTGAATTCTTATGTATTCTTCTGTGGGCTTCAATTTAGTACCTTTAAAAAAGAGAAGTTTTAGAACCTAAAAAGAAAACATACATTGTACCCCCTCTAACTTTAAGCCTTTGAAGAAGACGCCAGGCATTTTAACATTCTGGGCCAGTCTAATGATAAACACTTCAACTATTATGCAAATAAAAGAACTAAGGAAAAGATATCTGCTCTGATTGAAAAAAAGCTCAAAGCTCGTAACCTAGGCATGGCTGGGATCATTCTTCAAAGACTCTCCTACTTACTGTAAAGCAATGAGCTGCCAGCTGCCAGCCCCTACTGTCTTTAACACCTGTCTTAGTGTCTGAGCCAAGGATATACTCTTTCGAGGTAGACCAAACAAATGACCAAGCAAGATGGGAGGACGAGGGTCCAGCAATTGCTACCCAGTAGGTATGACAATCTTTCTGTTAGGCTAGATGAAACTTCCTCAGAATTGCCTTCAGTGTGAGGCTCTTCTTTGGCCATTCCTTTCCCATTACACATATCCAACCTGCCCGAAGAATTATAGCCTGAAGAATTTCCTGCCTATTCTTGTTTCTTTTCCTGTTTATCTTCCAAATATATATGTAGATAAACTCTTGCATTTCTCTTTTCATCTTGGTGTCTGATTTCCTATGCATCCAACCAATACAAGGGTGGAGGCGCTGGCTATTAGAGGATACACCTGAACAGCGGCAGGCTATTAAAATAACTACCACCTGGGAACTCTAGCTCTTGCTCTCTTTTTGATGGTGCCCCCTCTGCAAATGACCATGATTTGCATACTAATTCCAGAAAGCACAAACAAATGGCTTATCTGCAGTGTCCTCATGGTAAGTGCTGGTCAACAGAAAAAATACAGCAGAATAGACAGAAAGTGAAAGAAAGCAGAAGAAACTTTACCCTTCTCTATTCACGAAAGTTGTCCCTGTCATAGAATGTATAAATATACTAAAAATTACCAAGTTACACACTTCAAGTTGATGAACTATATGGTCTGTGAATTATATGGTTTCAGTAAAACTTATTAAAACATTGTGAACTCTCAAGTATAGAAGATATTACTAAGGTGTTAAATGTAGAGGAAAATAAAAGCAATAAGGTAAAGTCAGTTCCTTTTTCATTTGGCCATATATAGGGGGATTCCACAATTTTTCTTCAAGTACCTGCTGAAAGGGCCAGAGAGTTCATGAAATACTGGAAAGTATTCTGGAAATACTTCTGGTTTATAATGTTTAAAAAAAAAGCTTATGCATTCTTTGAAAAGGTTGCTGATATGAAACAATGACAATTCTCAAGAGTTCCACAGTTTGGGGAAATGGCAGGTGAAAAAAGCAGATATACGAATTCACTTGACCAATCCTTACGGGGTGACTTCTCTTTATACTAAAGCATAGACCCAGAGATTAATAAGGTCTCATCTCTGCCCTTAAGGGACTCAAGCAAGAAGAGTTAAGGGGCTTCTCAATGACACATGATGCAGAGGGACAAGCTACTGTGATTGAGCTGGGAGACTATCTGCAAAAGAAAGTAGCAAATGCAACTGCAATAACTGCATCCCAGTTTAAGGGTTAAATTACCTCCTACTTATCAAGGCACTACGAACTAGTAGATCCTGCAGTACTCATTTTGCATCAAGCTCCATTTAAACTGCTTACATAGGTTAGTTATTGCATCTTCCTCTTGCCCTATATAAAAATTAGCTGTCAAAAAAGCCCCATTTGAGGGGCTGGGGATTTAGCTCAGCGGCATAAGTGCCTGCCTTGCAAGCAGGCAGTCGTGAGTTCGATCCTGGTACCGATAGAAAGAAAAAAGACAAAAAAAAAAAGAAGCCCCATTTGTAGGGAAGGAAGCTGTGGCTGCAACAAGTTAAGTCACTGGCTCAGGATCACAGAACAAGGCAGGATCAGAGTAGGGCCAGAATCATGGATTCAAAGACTGTTACACAGCACTTGTGCACTGCCCACAGAAAGGCTCAAATCAGCACAGGCTTTTCCACTTACTATCTTTGTTCCCTTACGATGGGCTCCCTAAGTTAAAAGTGTTTTTTATTCATCATACTAATAACATTGCAATAAACATAACAGAGCAAACCTCATCCACAACCCATTACACAGCAAATCACTGACTCACATGTGCCATTATTATTTTCTTTCTGTTCTGGTAGTCCTTTACAGAGCAATTTTTCCTCTCTTACTCCTGTGGCCCCTCTGAAACACTTTCATTTTGCTATTCCTACCTGATGCTGTTTTTCAATCCTTTAACTCATATCCTATCCATTTGTGTGTCCTGGAAGTCAGGGGCAATAACAGGAGTGAGTGGGACTACCTGCTCTACAGGAGCTACGATAGTCCTAACACTCTTGATTAGGAGGCGATGGGGGCAGGGAGAGAGGTCATCAATAGAGAGAGCAGAGACTGCTACATAACAAAGTATTCTCAATATTGAGTGCCTGAAAATAACAAACGTTTGTTATCTCAAGGTTTAAGAGTGGCTTACCTGGGTGATCCTGGCTCCAGATTTTTCATGAGACTGCAGGTAAGATGTTGATGAGGGATTCATCAGCTGAAGCTCTGACTGAGACTGAAAGATCTGCTTCCAAGCTTGCTAACATGGACATTGACAGGAGACTTCTGATTCTAGCTACAGGGGCCTCTCCATTGAGCTGCTCACAATATGGCAGTTAGCTTTTGTCACAATGAATGATGAGAGACTGTGCACATAACCAAGGTGGAAACCTCAGTGTCTTTTTGCCTCTTTTCTTTCTTCTTCTTCTTCTTCTTCTTCTTCTTCTTCTTCTTCTTCTTCTTCTTCTTCTTCTTCTTCTCCTCCTCTTCCTCCTCCTCCTCCTCCTCCTTCTCTTTTCTTTCTTTCTTTCGTTCCTTGTGATGGGGTTTTGCTATGTTATCCAAGCTGGTCTGGAATTCCTGGATTCAAATGATTTTCCTACCTCTACCTTATACAATGATTTCTCAGCATTCTACCAACACTTACAGAAAATGGTAGGGAAATCTATAAGGGTATGATTACCAAGATCATTGAGGTCATCATAAAGACTGATTACCATATTTGGACAAGGGCTGAAACTCAGAGAAGCAACCACAGTTATGTATTGACATTTTAATTTACCTGAATATCGTCCCCTGATATGTTACAGTTTACAACATATGTAATCCTACATAGTGGCCTAGGTGGCAGTCTTGGGCCAAATGAGGAAGTCAGGAGAATTAGTCCTTGGTACTCTTCCATTTTCTGTTAGAAATTCATTCATTCATGTAATACTTTTTAGCCACCATCTTTGTGACAATACTGTACTAAGTAATTGGGTCCTTGGGGGTCTCAGCATTAATGGAACTTCAATTGTCCCTTATTAGCATTGGCTTTCTTTCATATCCAAAATATTCTGGGTACTACAGGGTGCCCATAGCTTCCCTTAAACCAGGCATTAAGTAAACAATTATTGTCTTTGTTTCTGTTCTCTTAGGTGGATCTGAGCTAATATGATGTTTCTTGCATAACATAATCCAAATATTTAATAACTCCTAATCACTGGGTGCCTAACAGGAGGACAGCTGCCTAAATAAGTGGCAGTACTCTACCACTATGATGCTTTCTGCTAAAATCGAGTCCAATTCTCCACAGAGAGTCTTTTCTATCACCCATCCAGTCAAGCTGGAAAACTAATTGTGATTCTACCTTCTCATGAAGTTGGCAGCAACAAAGTGATAAGAATTCTTCAAAAAAAAAAAATTGTCATTTGTCAATTCTAAGGTGGAAAATATAGACTCAATTAAAGCCTAGAAATAAACGTAGAAAAGGAAAGAGAGTTCATGATGACAGATCGATGGGCCAGAGCAGGAAATATAAACAAGGTAAACTATTTATCTTAGAGACCAAATTTGAGTCTTACGGGAGAGAAATGAAAAAACAAAAAAATCTGTGTTTGTACACTGGGATCATGGTAAACTGTCCTGAGGTTCACAGATTCCACAGCCAAACTGATTCCAAATCTTAGTTTTTGCTACTAACTAGCTGTGAAATTGTGGGCAAGTAACTAAATCTCTCTGTACCTCAGAATTTTGATCTGTTCCAGGTCAGTGAAATGAAACCAACCCAGGTATGTGCATATAAAACACTTAGCACATTGCCTACTACAAATTAAGAATCCCGAAATTACTAATGATCTTTACTGAAGAAACTAGAAAGATGTCTATTATGTTATCAAATGAAAGAAGCTGATTTCCCTCCCAACCAGTACTAATGAATATCTATAGCAGTGAACCCCAGCCAACAATACCCTTTTATTTAAGGTGCTTACATGTATGCATGTATTGGATGGTGTGGGGCAAGGATTGGAGAAGGAAGAGGAAGAAGGGAAAGATTAAAACAAACCATGTCAGATGATGGTTCTGAGAAAGATAAAGCCTACAAAGGAGATAGGAAGTTCTACAGGTAGAGTAAGAGAGAAGAATGTTTGGAAATACGAAGTACAAGAGTCTTGAGACTGAGGAATGCTTGGTGTGTTTTATAACAGCAAGTGAGTGTGGCTGGAGAGAGATGAGGATCAGGTGAAACTATACAACTTGAAGTCATAGGGCTCCTGCATGAAGTCATCAGAAGAACCGGTGGTTGCTGTAGAATGCAAAGCCACTGGCCTTTCAGAGAAGAGGTATAACCTAACCTATGTTTTTAAAAATCTACTCAACCTGCCTGACAAGCATAAGGTCATGAGTTCAATCCCTGGTACCAAAACAAACAACCTACTCAGACTGCTGTTTGTTGGGGTGGGTGTGGTAGATGGATTAGTGGGAAGTAGAACAATCAGGTAGGAGACCATGGCTGAGTAAATCAGGGCATTAGCGGTGTGGAGGGTTGAATCAGGGCATTAGCAGTGTGGAGGGACTAGGAAGACATGGACACTTTCAGGATATATTCTTGAAGGCAGAGTCAATAGAATTTGCTATTATATTAGATGTGGAATATAAAACAGGGAAGTGTCAGGAAGAGGAGAGCTCTGTGAGGCAGGGATTTTTTTTACTTCTTCAAAGCTATAGCCCTACCACCCAGACTCCATATTCCTGTTTTGGGGGGTTTGTTTCGTTTTAGACAGGGTCTTGCTGTGTAGTTTAGGCTTGCCTTGAACTTACTAAATAGCCCAGACTGGCCTCAGCCTCCCAATTGCTAAGGTTACCAGGTATGCACCACCACACCTGACTAGTATTGAATGCCTGGTACTCAACAGATATTCCTTGAAAGAATAGGAAGTATAATTCTGATTTGTACTATTCCTTTTTTGAACTTTATAAATAGCTAACAGCGGTAAAACAGCTCCAGACAAATGAAGTACTTCTGTTGGAACCAGCTTCAGCAATCAAGCAGTGAAACCTTCTCCAATCCTTTCCACAAGATGGACATTGACACTGCTGCATCCTGGCTCCCAGCTGCCAATGAACAAGGTCTGAAAAACAACTGTGACATTTTCTGTAACAGAAGAGCACTTTGTTAAAACATTCATCGTAAACAAAAACTAACAGGACACATACAGAAAAATATATGCAAGAGCAGTTACTTGGAGAAAAGCATAGGGAATGAGACACTGGGGCTGTAGTTCAGTGGCACAGCATATATACTCAGCATGCAAGAAGCTACGGGTTTCATCCACAGTAACAAGTTTTGAAACACATGGCAGACTTTGATATTTCTGTGTTCTTAAAACATAATTAGAAAATGAAAATAATGCTATATAATTAATTAAGATGAATTAGTAATCAATTTAGGTAGCCTATGAAATGCTCTCATTATATGTGAAATATTAAAAAGCAAGTACAATTTATTGTATCATGCCTACTAATACATTATACCATGAAAGAGATAGGTAACTGTTATTGATAAACCCAGATTATGCTAATTTCTAATCCTTCCATATATAGTTTAAAGGTAATCTGTTGATATCTTAAGTAACCTTAAGCAACACATAGAAGTAATATACAATAATGCTCTCGTTTTTGTTCAGTGGTGATTTATAGAGGATAGATACCAGTATTTGCTTTTGGCAATTTTTGGAGACATTATCAAATAATGGTCAATCTTTGAACAAGATATTTGAAGAAAGAATTCTGTTCGAGACATATGCATAACTCCTAAACTGTTGCAATCTTCGTTTTTTTGTTGTTTTCTTAGCAGTATTGAGCAATGAACTCAGGTAGAACTACATGACCAGCCCTGCCCCACCCTTACATCCTTTAAAATTTTGAGACAGTCTTCATAAATTGCTCAGGCTGGCCTCAAATTTATGATCCTTCTGCTTTAGTCTCTGGAGTAGTTGGGATTATAGTTGAATGCCATGCCTGGCTTCTCTGGTCTTTTGCACTGATTTCTTCAGCTTGTTTGAGCTGTTCTGAACTGTTCTCTGAGTCTGATACAGCAGTCCGGTTTTCCTCTAATATGCATTTGACTAAGTTATGTTCAAGTGACCTAGATTATATTAAATCTGCCCCTTTCTTTGGGATATGTGGGTGTAAGTCTGTCTTCAGCCCTAGATAGCACAAATTTCCCACATACACAGCTCGGAAGTCTATACACAGGAAAAATTTAGAAGCAGTAACAGCATTCAGCTAGTAAGAAGGGAGGGGAGGGGGAATAGAGCAAAGTTTATGGTAGCCAACTTCATTAAGTATGCAGTGTTTTAAAAAAGTTATTTAGGGCAAATATAGGAGAACCTAATGCTTCCCCAGCCTACCCACAACACTGCTACTGTGCCCCCATCCTTCAGTTAACTGGATTTGAGGCAGCTTCTACTTGCTCTGATAGTGCTGCCTTCTTAGCACCTCCAACAGTCCCCCCCAGTACCCCTGGCCTAAATGGTCCAGAGCACCTAGCTAATAACCAGGGAGGCTTCAGGATGAGAGAGTCTCAGGCCAAAGGGCCTCAGTGTTGCAGCGTCGGGAGAGGAGTCAGGCTTACTCCATAGAACTTTCCAAGGCCAACGCGAAGTTTACCTACCTTGGGTGCATGTGGGCACCGCTAGCACACGAGTTTAGGTGAATGTGTCCACAGAGGCAGTCCTCGCAGCTACTTTGCAAAAGCTCTGAGGCAAGTTGTGAAGTCAGGGGCTGCAAAGGACTGCAGAACAAACCCACCCCCTGCGGTCTCATGACCGTTCTTGGGGCGAGTCCCTACCCCTAGCCGGCGTTTCTCTTTAATGCGCGTGCCCGTCAAGGTCCCCGTGTCCCCTCCCTTCAAGCTGCCCGGCCCGCCTCGGTTTCCCCCACCTCTCCGGGTCCCTGCAGCTCCTTCTCAGTCCGACGCTCCTCACTCTCGCCCGCCCGCGCGACCGGGACTCAGCTGTCACTTTACTTTTCCGCGACGCCTCCCCGCCCCCTCTCCCGGCCAGCAGGGCAGCCCGCCCGTGCGCGCGTCCGCTCCCGCCCCCTCGCGGCCGCGCGCCGGTGGAGGAGGGGCAGAAGGGGAGGGGGAGCGCGCGGCGCCGCACGGCCGACGTGGGGCTCGCGCTCTCGCGGTCTCTCCCGGGCGGGCGTCCGGGCACGCGCACTCGCGGGCACGCGCGCGGACGGCCGGGCGGCGGCGGTGCTTTGGGGAGGTGGTAGCTTCACTTTCCGGGACTCAGGGACGGCCACAGCGGCAGCAGCCTTGAGAACCGGGGCTGGAACGGCCGGAGGTGGCGGCGGCGGTGCCGAGGGGTGAGTCGGACCGCGCGCGAGCGTGGCGGGGACAGGCGTGGCCGGGCGGTCGGGTGTGTGGTGCGTGGGTCCGGCTTTCGGTGACTAGACGGTCTGCGGGGAACATCCAGTCCCCGGGCCTCCCCAGCCGCCCGCCCCCGCGCGCGTCGGCAGCCCGCGTCCTGGGGCTTCGGCGGCCACCCCTCCCTCAGGTATTCGCCCGGGCCGCGCCGGTGCCCCCAGCCTCGGGCGTCCTCCCTCTCGTCGGCGTCCTCCTCACTTTCCTGACCTCCCCTCCATGCCGCAGGTTTCTGCTCGCCCCGCTGGCGTCCTAGTTCTCGCCTTCTCCGATCCCCGCGTGCCCGGTTCCCTGCACCCTTCCCGAGAGCCTCCTGCCCCCGTTTCTCGCCCTTTCTGCCCCTCCCCCTCCTTCCCATCCTCCCCCCTTCTGCTTCCTCCGTCCCTGCCCTTCTACCCCCTTCCTTTCTCAGTTCCCCATCCTTCTCCACCCTTCCAGCCCTTTCCCTCTCCTAGCTGCATCCTGGAACTAAAGTCTGCAAAGTACAGGATAAATGTCACAGTAGAAAGTGCCGGGCTTGATCCTTTGCTTTTTTCCCTAATTGCATAATTGGTGCACATGGTGTCTCCCCTAGCCAGTGCCGGGTCTGGCTCCGCTGTTGCTGCACCTCGGTATCCCGCCCGGAGAAGACCTTGTGGGGTGTATTTGTGTGTGCACTGGTGTGGAGTGTGTGTTGTACTGGTCTTTTGTGATGCTTGGTGCTTGTCACAGTTTGGATCCGAAGCCCATTTTTCTCTGGTTTCTTCTCGGCAGCCCCCACTGGCCTGATTGGAAACTGGATTCCCTCTGTTGCCTGCCCTCCCCTCTCTCCTCTCTTCTCCCCTGTCTTCTCATAATGTTTTGATCCTTTTTGCCCTTTACCATTTTTAATGAAAGTAAAGCGTGGCTTCTGGTGGCTTTTTCCTCTACTACCAACCAGAAATGTCAGTCTATCTTCTCTAAAGGAAATTAAGGTACCTTTATAAAGACATTCTGTGCTTGGTAGCTGTTAGACCCATTTGCATGTTTTCAAGATGCATCATTTTGCATTGTGTATTCTTGAGTGTTTACCCAAATATTTTTATTTAAAAGTACAAGAGGAAGTACTGGAAATTAACCTTCAGATTATCGTGCAGTTCAGAAAGATTTTTAAGCTCTTAGTTTTTAATTCCTGATTCTTTGAAAAGTATGTTTATGAATATGTGATAATTGAGGCTGGACTATGGGATTCTAAATGTTTTTACTCAGCTAGTCGAGATGCTCCTTACTCTGGAGTTTCACGTGTGGGGTAATGAAGAACATGGAGTGTTTTCCTGTGACCTACACATACTAGTTCCCCAAGGATACAGACCCCCCCCCGGGGGGGGTGTTCCTCCCGTTGTGAGTTTGCAGTTAAAAGCTATGTATTGTTAGATGTTGTGCATATAACATATATTGTTATTTTACATTTTAGAAAAGTTTAAAAATGTGAGTAGGAAGACTGGAAGACACAGATGACAGAATTAAACGTTTTCCTGTTTAAAAAGCTCAAATGAAACCTAGCTTTTGCAGTTTTATGCTATGAGATAAGATTATAACTTATCCGGAGAGTAATGGGAAGTTATTGAGTGGCTGATGTTGCCTTGTTATCAGTAATATTTAGAGTGAAATCATTACATATTAATGGAAAATGAGTTTCATTCACTATATGTTGCTGATTTCTAGGACTGTAATTACAGCATAGCTAGTACAATCTTAAGCAATTTGTATGCTGAAAGAACATATTTGAATTCTTAAATGCAACACGTTTTAAGAAAATTACCAATTTTATATTGTGTTTAGAAACAAGTTTTGCTTGGGATATGAAGAAAATTAATTTATGTGTTTTAGTATCTTTGAAACAGTTATTGAAGACTGTGTCTATTTTCATCATTGTAGACTTTAATCTTCCTTCTAGATTAGAAAGATTGAATTAGCTATTTAGGAATTAATTTTAAAATGTTAATTTAGAAGGCAATATTTAAAAAGTTGTAATTCAGGAATTTTTATTTACTTGGATTTTAGAGAGATAAGACACCAATATAATACTTAGAGCTAACTCAAATGAAAAATTAGTTGTCTCTGAGTAGTACAATAATTTTTTCCCCATATTTTTCTGGATTCAGACATTGAAAAAAAAAACTAGCAAGGATTTCCCTTTTTCTTGATATTTGAGAAAGATACAAAAACTTTATTTCTGAAAAGTTTTTATAATGGGTATCAATGGTCTTGGATGATTTATCATTTCTAGTTAAGATTTGGATGAAATAATGTGTTTTAGATCAAAAGTAGAAGTACACTTGTTTTTTTTTTTTTTTGTATGATGTTGGAAATTATGCCTCTATTTGAGCATTTTAATAGGTTTTTTCAGGGGGGTAGTCCTTACTAATTTGTTTTATGGTGCTGGGAATTGAACCTAGGGCCTCGTGCTTGTTAGGTAACACTGAACTCCACTTCAGTCCTTTAGAAGTGTTCAGTTGTTCTCTGTTGGGACTAATTTTTACCTTAATTATCCTCAGATGTTCAAGAGTTGTTTATGATGTTTACTGTATCACTGAGTAGTCTTTACTAATGGTAGCATTAGAGCATATGTAAATGCTTATCAAGAAGAATATTGAGAGGAATGTGTAGCTTTATAACTGGTACACACCTGAAACTCTAGACATAGTTTGTTAAATCTTACTTAAGCTGTAGTTTCACTGTAATAGAACTTTATTTCATTTATTTCATTCATCATGTATTTGTCATGTAATGGATTGCTTCTGTTTTAAAATGTATAAAGTGATTTCTCATTCTTTTCATAATTCTTAAAATATTGTTGGCAGCATTTTGCTGTATCTAAGTGCCATTCTCTGAGAATTGTTCTTACTCCCATGCACATCTGCTCTATCTAATGTGCCATTATGTACATACTTAGCAGGTTTTAAAGTGTTGATATATTTTAAGTGAAAGAAATAAACTGAAGAAAACCAATACTAAACCCACGAATGATAATTTAAAGTGAAGAAAAAAATGGAAAGAAAGAAATATATGGTCTTTTAAAGCCAGACATGAAACCTACTGATACACAATTTCAGTGTTCTATTAAGTGACTTCAACGCTCATAAAAGATGTCATAGTTGTAGAGACTGATGCTTTCCATTTACAGAATAGGTGAAAGTAGCTTTTCTGTGCATGTGTTTTAGAACTGTTTGGCAGACCTGGTTTTTTAGCATCGGGGAAGGTAGCTGTTAGGATTGAGAAGCAGTGATATGTGTGCCATCTCTTGAGGGCTTTCAGTATTTTCCGTTGACTGTACCTCTCTGTAATTCCTGATTTCAGTTTTTTGCAGTGCTTTCCCATTATAGTGTTTTTTAGTTTGTTTTACTATAAAAGTTTCAATCCACAAAAGTTTATATTAAAAAATTGACTTGGTTTAGAATAAACTACCAGTGTCAACTAGCTATGTTTATACAAGGTTATAGTAATAAGCTAGGTTTTGTTTGAAATGTCTTCCCTTATTATTCTTGATCATATCAGAAACTGTTGTATTTTGTCATAATTTGACTGAGAAATCGAAACTCACCTTTTTCTTTTCTTTTTTTTTCTTAATCGGCACCAGGGATCGAACTCACGACTGTGAGCTTGCAAGGCAGGTGCTTATGCTGCTGAGCTAAATCCCCAGCCCCAAAACTGACCTGCTTCAAAAAGAATATGTTCAGTTTATTTTTTTAATTTTTTCTTTGGGTATTGGGGATCGAATTCACAACCTCACGCTTGCCAGATAGGCACTTATGCCACTGAGCTAGATCCCCAGCTTTTAATTTTTATTTTTGAGATACAATGTCACTATGTAGCTCAGGCTGACCTCAAATTCCCTAAATAGTTAGAGCTGGCCTTGAACTTGTGATCTTCTGTCTCAGCCTGTCTTTAATAAAAGTTATTTTGTACTGTTAATGTACATTTAAATATGGTAGTGTTTTATTTTTAGACAGGGTTTTGCTAGGTAGTCTGGGCTGGCCTTGAACTCACTATGTAGCCTAGCTGGCCTCAAATTCATAGTGATCCTCCTGCCTCAGCCTCTCAAGTGCTAGGAGTATAGGCATGCATTATCACACCTAGTGCAGTTTTGTTTCTAAGAAAGTGTCAGAGAAGGTAGCTATATAGTACTCAAAGTGATTCTTTGATGACAATATTGTAGTAAGCACTAATGGGCCCTTTAGAGTCTAGGTAACAGTTTTATTTAGTTCTGGATTTGTCAGCACACTGTAAGCGAGGTGGATCTTAGCAGATGTATTCACAGTGATCAGACTAAAAAGTTGATTGTAAAAGAATGACAGTGGAGAGGGTAATATCCCTTTCCACTTACTGGAATTTTGTATCTCTGCTACTAGGTATTGAGGTATTGAAGAATTGAGTTGATGTTATGGTTTGTGTCTGGATGTTCCCGAGAGCTTCATGAAGTCATAAGGTTGCTTTTTGGAGGTGGCTGAATCTAGAGTTTGTGATGGATTCATTTTGTAAAGTGCTGGGATTATGGGTGTGAGTGCTACACATGCCTTGGGGCGGGTAGCCTGTATACAATATAAGAGAGGGAAGGAGGCTTGCTCCTCCCTTTTGCCCTTTTTCTTGTTGCTTTTGCTGTCTACAAGT